CCGCTATTGGGTCTAAGTGGGTTCTCCCGCTTTTTCGCCTTTCAGAAGGGTGGCCCACACACGGACAGGGGGAAAGGGGGGGAGACTAGCCTCATTACTTCCCACTGGGAGAGAGGTGCACATAACCCACCTACCCACTCATCAATCACGGTGTTCAGCTGACTTGCACTGATAGACCCCTATTGTATTGGAATTAGGCGCCCATCTTTTTACTGTTATCTTCTCATCATTTTTCTGCTCCTTTCAACCCATTCATACCACACTGTTCCTTCAGATCTCCATCAAGTAATATCATATGATTTGAAGCCCACATTGAAATAAATCCTATTTTCCCCCATTGATAAGGACCAGAAAATAACGGACTGAATCCAAGAGAAATAAACTATCACGAAGGTAATAGTTCAAGGAAGAAGACAAGGACTGAAATTGGATTCCGGCCAGAATTCTGTGAGCCAGTAGCTGAACAAATTAGCTACATTAGAGTGATTTTTTAAGCTGTATCAGGGTTGAGAGTAAATTGGGGAAAAAACATTCTGTTTCCTGTTAATGAAGTCCAGCAGATTCAAAACTTGGCAAATATTTTGGGATGTAGAGTTGATCAAATGCCTACCACTTACTTGGGCATGACTCTAGGTAGCAATCACAAGGCATTGGATATCCGGGATGGTTATCCTGGAAAAGACTGAAAGGAAATTAACTAGGTGGAAAGCTCAGTATTTATCTTTAGGTGGAAGACTGATCTTAATAAATTCTGATCTAGATTCCTTACCCACCTATGTGATGGCTTTATTTCCAATCCCAGCAAAAGTTGTGGAAAAGTTAGATAGGCTAAGGAGGAACTTTCTGTGGCATGGAAATAAAGAAGGGAAAGGTTATTGTTTAGTAAACTGGAAGACTGTGCTTCTCAGTAAATAAAGAGGTGGTCTGGGAATCAGAAATCTGAGGTTGCAAAATGAGAGTCTACTGATGAAGTGGCTGTGGAGATACACTGGTGAGGAAAGAGCTCTATGGAAGGAGGTCATAGTAGCGAAGTACAGTGAATCAAACCCCTGGTGTACAAAAATGTTTCTGAACCTTATGGTGTGGGTGTGTGGAGAACAATCAGAAATCTTTGGCCACAGATAGAAGCAAATTTATATCTCAAAGTGGGGAATGGAAACAAAACGAAATTTTGGAAGGATGGATGGGTTAATCAAACCTCTCTCAAGGATCTTTTCCCAGATCTGCTCCTCATTTGTGAGAATCCTGAAGATAGAGTGTGTGATTGCTGGACAGAGCAGGGATGGAACATATCATTTAGGAGAATGCTTAATGATTGGGAAATAGAGAGGGTGGCAGCTCTGCTGGGAACATTAGGTGGAATTTCCATTATCCCAACAGCTACAGACAGGGTCTTGTGGAAACTCAGCAGGGATGGGGTTTTCTCAGTCAAAAGTGCATATAACAGCGGACTACATGAGATGACTAGGGGAACACAATATCCTTGGAGGTACTTCTGGAAGAGTGTCATGCCCGCCAAAGTGAAAGGTTTTACTTGGTTAGTGATTAGGAGAGCTTGTCTTACTCGAGAAGTCTTACAAAAGAAAGGTAGACAACTAGTTCCCAGGTGTTTTCTTTGCAACATAACAGGGGAAACCAATAAGCATCTATTTTTACATTGCAAGTTCACCACTCAGCTATGGAACCTTTTCCTCAACATTACAAGCACTAGCTGGACAATGCCAGAGCACACATCGGATCTTTTGAGTTGCTGGATTAGGAGGGGAGGAAGTAAAAGTCAAAAGCGATGGTGGAGATTAATACCATCATGTATATGGTGGTCAATATGGAAGGAAAGAAATGGGAGATGCTTTAAAGATAGGTCTAATTCCATACATAAAGCAAAATTGAATTGTATTGAAGTTTTACTTCTTTGGTGTAAACTACTTTGTATTGAAGATGTAGATCAGATTGTAGATTTGATAGGAAACTTGTAATTGCTCTCTTTTGGAGGTGGCCAGCATACCCTTAATGCGGATGAATACAATTTACCAATTTCAAAAAAAAAAAAGACGGAACCCCCCCCCCCTCCTCCCCCCAGGGAAAGTGCCTGAGAGCATAATGGAGTGTATTATCAATATAGGCTTCAGTTGTGAAATTAGGGTTTAAGAAGACCAACAAGATGTCCACAACTTAAGCCAAACAAAGAGGAAACAAAACGCCCATATTCTGTGAGAAAATAAAGAGAAAGAACAACATTCAAAGTAGACATTCTACCATCAGCAAGTACGTTTCATTCTGATTCTTGTATTTACAAAATCCAACAGCCTCCTCTCTTAAATTTTTTTTTGAGAAATGATCAATGACTTTCTTATTTAAATTATATATATATATATATCTATGATGTTTAAATATAAATAAATAAATTATGCACATTCATACATTGAAAAACAACAGTCTTAATCATCTAGTGTTCAGACCTAGAGACAACATCTTAATCATTCAGATTCAAATGTCTTAGTCTTAGTGAAAACAAATGAGGGCTTTAATGGTATTTGGAATCAGTTATTTTACTTATTTTTCATGTGGTTTACCCTACTATATTGTGCACTTTCCACATCTGTTGCCATTGTGCTTCTGATTTTCTCATGGGTTAACTAATTTTTTTTTTTTGAGATAAAGGTAACTGAACTAATTACATGTGTGCTGTGCTTGCATCAATATCCAAAATCATAAAGCCAACCTGAGGTCATTGGATTAGTGGTCAATATTGACATCATTTTCTGGATAAGAGCTTTTGCTGCGAAGATATTGTGCAATTCAGGGTCTCAGAATAGATAGCTTGCTTTTACGTATTCCTTTCTTCTCCATTTCGTTTGGTAATGTAATGTTTGCTTTAGTTCTTTGTCCAAATTTGAGTGAACTTGGACATACTACTCTAGGATCCTTATCGATTGATGATAACCTGGAAACAATCTAGGCCAAAAGAATCTTTTTAGTCATTCAGAATATTTTTGTAGGGATTTCATTTGTGGGTTCTGAGAATGAAACACTTGGTTATTTCTGAGAATTGAGAAAGAATGTAGGTTGAGAAAGGGATTTAGAATTAAAGTATCTTTCTCCACTGTAAATTATGATGAAAGAATGTGGAATGAGCGGAGGGTGGCAGGGAAGTGCCTGAAATGTTTTACAGATATGCTTATAGAAATTTTGGCATGGATCAGATGGGGTTGAAGTGTCCCAAGAAGAGGCTACATCTTTAAAGGAGTAAAATATGAAATGGAGGCATTCTGCGATATGTTTGCAGCCAAGATGACAATGATAATGGAACAGGAGGCCCGAAGCACATGAGGTGGTGGATGGGTCGAATGGGCGTTTCTAGACTCTAGAGGAACATAGGATGGTATTTTTATTTTATGAGCTTAAGGGTGATGTCCATTGTTGAGCAAACCAAAGCGACACGATCATTATTTTGTCATCTCAAAATGATCAGAATTTTTTTGAATGGGGCACTTTCTGGAATCTACATAGACTGTGACTTCTTTACAAGATCTGTGGGATGAATTGTATGAAATGCGAGAAAGTGACAGCTTCTGTGGGTTATTATAGCTAATGTTGTTACCATTAGATTTGTGAAAGAAATAAGAAATAACAATAGAAATTTGGAGGAAATATCAAGTGATTTCTCCAGCTTCATTTCTAATTGTGACGTCGCTGATTTTCTTTTGGGTGCAAAGTGTACATGAAGCAATAGAAAGCGGCTTCACACATCAATAGAATTTTGATTTCTAGCAATTGGAAAGAGAAGTTCCTGACTCTATTCAATAGGCATTGTCAAAATCTATATTCAGATATTTGTCCTCTAATTGTAGATAGTGGGGGTAATTGGGGGCTATCCCAGAGAACATATGGTTACAACACATTGATTTTAAGGAGTTACTTATTCATGATAATGTTCTTTTTAAAAATAACAAAATCCACCCCTATATATAAGGAAAATCTATCCCAAATAGCATGAGATTCAAATCCTACTTTCATGGAAATAATAAATACTAAAATCAAACTAGAAAACTTTAAACTAGAAAAACAAATAGAAATTAATGTCACACTTCTTCCCAAAACTACCTAACAAGAAAAGGAAAGAAGTATCAAAATTTGACACCAAAACTCAAGCCTAGTGCAGCCCCTGCTTGGGTATCAATTGCACATCCATTTCAGCCTGTCTTTGGGCATGAATTCATCCCCTATTCGCAGCCCACTTTTTGCTGAAATTTTAACTCTTTTCTTGGGTCCCATGTGGGCCCCTTCTCTTGGTTTTCATGTTGGCCCAATTTTCCTCCCCTTGGACTTGAACCATGAAATATGTGTAGCACTTAGCCCACTCTTCACCATAATTGTTGGGCTCATTTTTGAGCTCTTCTTCCCCAATAAGCATCTTATTGATTTCTCATTGAAGCCTGTCAACCTTAATGCAAGTAGGCCAGCATCGATGCTATCAATTATGGTCAGTGTGTAACCAGAAGATGTGTATCTTTTTGAACTATTTTATTCTCTGTCTTTTGGTTGTCCTCTACATGCTCTTCTGTGAATTTCTCTTGTTCCCCATTACAGCATCAATGGCCTTCTTTGAATTTCTCTTGTTCGCTGCAGCTTTTTTGTCTTAATTAATCTTTTGTGAGAACTTTGTCCATTTCTCCACCTCTTTATTTATTATATTGTAAGACGTTATTTGATTAAAAAAGGGAAATGCCATATTAATGGTAAAATAAAATCATCTGCCTATGCTTCCGCTTCTTTTATTGTTCCTCTTTTCGTCACAAAATTTTTTATTCTTTAATCTCTGGGAATTCTCTCTGTTTTCTCAATTATATCTAGTTTAAGAGATGTATTTTTTTGCAAATTTTGCTTTAACATTCTTATGTTTTGTGGGGAGTCTTAGACTTGTAGATCTTCTTCTACTGCCACTGGATTAGGTACTAGTTTAATGTTTAATTGCAACTTATTCTTTGAATAATTGGTAGGTATTATGGAACCCTTTTGAGGATATTGTCCCAAGAGCAAAGCCTGCAGAAGCTTTGCCTTCTGGAGTTTCAACTGAGAAGAAAGATGCAAAACAGAAAGCTACCAAGTAAGATCTTTTTCCTGACTTCTAAGTTCTAACTGAAGCAGTTATCTAGAAAGTGAAATATCTTTTCATCAATATCTTATGTTTTTACCAAATCCTTTTCTGCTTCACTCAGAAAGTTGAACTTGCTTTCATTTGGAGAAGAAGCAGAAGAGGAGGAGAAAGAGCTTGTAGCTGTGAGTTCAAGGATAAGAAGCAGTCACGATGTCTTGGATGATCCACGTCTGCTGAAGGAAGGAAAACATGATCAAGCTTTGGTAATGCCTATATTTTTTCTATGTTTGCCGTGATATGCCAATTCTGCATCTTCTCTATCTACAAAAGTAGGCAAGGGCTCTACCCTTATAGTTGCAATGTAAAAAGAAATTTATGAGAGCCTTGGGTAAGGAACTTAAGTGCATAAAGACGTGCAGTAGGTTATTTTTGTACCTCATTTTTTTGCTGATACATTGTAAGCAATGGAAGCGCAATTCTAGTTTCATCAAGCTTTAACCAAGCAGAATTGATTTTTTCTGCGTAGGATAAAAGAGGCATAAAGGTAGGGGTATGGTCTGTGTACACCCCACCCTCCCCAGACCCCACTTTTGGGATCACACTGGGTATGTTGTTGTAGGATTAAAGAGGCACCTGATATATTACTAGTTTTTCCTTGCATCTGGGGTCCCCTAGCCTCCATGCAGAACATCCTTTTACTAGCTCATCACTAGTATTCTTTTTGTTTTTTTGAGATTGGACAAGTATTATTTTTGTAAGTTCAAATCATATGTTTTCCTTAAATAGAGCTCATTAAGAAGCACTAAGATTGCACCCTAGTGCCTCAAATATCTGCTCTAAAGCAGATGCTTAGTATAAATCCATCTAGGAAGCATTAAATAGCCCATTGTCACAATTTGATCCACGCCATTGTAAAGCTCTACTCAATAACCTATGGTTCTCTTTTCCCAACAGGAGAGGGGTAAACTTCATTGATCGTTGTGTAATAGCCTGAACTTAACAAGGATGATTGTATATTAGCCTACCTGTCATTGTTGTCACATTTGGTGTCTTATGTATTAGACTTTGGCTCACTACAATCCAATTCTTCCAAAATTACTACAATGTTGCTCTAATATCATCACCTAACTTGTTATAGTCCCAAATCTATGTATAATGCTACTTTATGTTCTAAACATTTCCTCCAGATTTACCACAAATAGCTCCGCTTGGATCCTTTCTCGTCTGTTCCTTGTAATATTTTATTATTAAAATTGGATACTCTTTGTTCACAAAAAATATTGGTAATAATTGTGGCTCCCATTCCATATTCAACCGCTATGTCGTATCCTATTTGAATCATTGCATGGAGGTGCAATCATCATTATTGTTGTGCTGATTACCGTTTTGTCCCCTATTTTGTTCCAAATGACTTCCCCTTCAACATCTCAAACCTTGGAGTTGTAAGATAATGTGTGTCACTCTCAGCATCATGGTCAGCACATTTGGATTTTGTTGTCATTGTCGTCTTCTGAATCAGTGTTACTTTTGGAATTTTTGTTAAGTAAGCTGTCATAAGCACCAGATTATTTTTGATGATGTGTTCATAGACTATATTATTCAGATGAGGTTACGATTTCAAGTCATGGAAACAGTGTCCTGCAAAAATGCAAGCTAAGACTACTTCCAATAGACTCAATGTGGTTCGGCCGATTATTATAATTTATATGTGGTTAAGGTTTCAAGTCATGGAAAGTCTCTTATGCAAGGTAAGACTACATACAATAGACTGAATTTGGTTTGGCCTGTCTGAATCCAGTGCATAGTGGGAGTATACTGCACCAGGCTACCTTTTTTCACTACTTTAGAGTAAATAACACAGGAAAAACTACTTATGCAGGACTCATCTGAAGGAAAATCAACAAGGGATGTGCAGTTGACCATCAGAGAAGCTTTGGGATCAAAGAAGGAAGCGTCTCGTAAAGAATCAGAAGCGGGTTTTCAAGAATCCCTTGACAACAGTGATGAAGATGAGGCTGGCTTTGATTCACGAATGCGTCAGCAGATACTAAAAAGGAGGAAAGAACTTGGCGATCCGCCACCCAAACAGAAGTTGCTCAGTGGTAAAAACATCTATCTAAATTCGAAGACTAAAACTACTACTGAAGCACTTTGCCCAATGTAGTCTCATTTTATTTGTTTTGTAAAAACTCGTTTGACCAAGCATTTTCTTCAATTATCTTGAAAATTCAAAGGCATTTTGCGGTGCTGCTAAGTATGCTTTCATTGTGCGGACTGTTAGTTGACTTGTATGAAATAATGCAGTTAACTGAACTTGTTTTATTAATTAAAGTAAATTTTACTGGTGATGGAGAAAGCTTCACTGTACAAGTGGTATTCCAAAAGGCAGAGACCCTTGACAAAACTACGGTGTTTTATAAATGCCACCAGATCTTGTATATAAATTAGAACCTTATGGCTGCACCAAAATGAAACTACAAATAATAGACTGTTTTTCAAATGGAACAAATCATGTTCTCTTTTCATGTGACCCACGTGTGTGTTAGTAGAACTACATCCCACGTCATGCCTCTTTTTGCCATTCCTCCAAAAGCCTAGCTGAACAATGCCTCTTTCATGGTGTCTGGTGTTAACATGTTAACTCCAAACCATCTCAAAGTTATCACACCAAAATCAAGTAGCTACCTGACAATGTTGAAGGAGATGATCCACATCTTCACCTGAGTTCTTGCACATAGAACACCAGTTGACATATGTGTTCTCTTAAATTTTAGCTGTTAAGATCACTTGAGTTGCTACAAACCAAGTGTATGTTTTCCTCGGCGTCCTGGGAATTCAAACCAAAAGGTGTGAGTAGCCTGCCTTTTCCCTTATCAAAAGCTTGTTATGTTGTTTTCTCTATGAACCTGCCATTTCTTCCCACCCCAATCTCCACGAATCCTTGTTTGTGATGCAATTCAACCAGACTTCTGTAAATTCTGATATCTGCCAATCTTGATGGGTCCTCCAAAGCCTCGGTCCCAGTGAAATCTCACTTTTTGGCTCTGGATCTGTTAAACTATCTCTCCATCTGGTATGAAACTTGGTTTATTTGGAAAAGTGGTCCTCACTGTATTATCCTCACACCAACTATGACCCTCAAAGCTGACTCTCTCCTGTCCTCTATTCTAAATGTGATGTTATTAGTCGGAAAAGGGGTAGGAATGTTTTTAGTACTATATTTTTCTGCTATCATCTTCTTCTATAGAGCATGCTCCTCTCTCGAATTTACATAACCACTCTTAGTGCTCTGTTGAAGACATGTAGGTCTTTCAACCTGAGGCCTCCCAACCTCTATGGCATTGTAGCAGTCTCCCAACTAACCAAGTGAAACTTCTCTGTCTTGTCTGTCGAATCTCATAGAAAGTTGCTTTGAAGTTTTTTCAGTTACACATTACACTGACCGGTGTCTGTAACAGGGACATGAAATATGTGAGGATGTGTGACATTGTGCTCTTAATCTACTTCCTTTCCCTCTTTTGACAAATATCTTTTCTGCCTTTTTGTGATTCTCTTCTTTAGTCTTTCTATCACCGGATTCTATGTTGCTTGGTCCTTGTTACATGCACCTAGGGGCAACTCCAGATTGGTGGTCAGAAGAGCTCTAACCTTGCAATTGAACACCTGTAGTAGATTCTCAATAATCCTCTCTTCATCCACTGGGATTTCTTTCCCATCCACAACTTACCACAGATCAGAATGTTTGCACCATGTAGATTGCGCAAATTTGTACTTTTATAGGTCTGCAACTATTTAGTCCTTGCACATCATAGTTTTACATGTATAGTTGTATACAATTCATTTCCCACATGGATTCATTTAGTTAAGCTTTGTCAATTTTCTTTCATTTTGCACTTGTCAAAAAGAAATTTAATCATTTGGCATTTATCTTTGGTTTATTCAGAGAATGGGAATGCAAGAAATCGTTCACCATCTCCTTCAAGGTGCAGGTCTAATCTTCTTTCTCTCCATGTTTTTTTTAACCTTCTTTTAACACATAGCTATATTACAATACAAATGGTGTCTGACATCTAGCTTCGTGAGCAACTGTTTTTGTCCAGTATTTATTCTAGGTGCTACCTGTTAAACTACATGAATATGCTTTTACTCTGTTCACTATCTTTCTTGTAAGTGATCAGTTTAAGTTGGTGTTTATATGTGGCCATTAAGACTTGAATGGACAGGAAATAGTTTATGTGGTGAGGACTCTTGGAACTGAATAAAACATATTATAAAGTGCTTGTTTTCCAATAGAGACACATAGGCCATGCGAAAAATATGTGATCTTTTCTTTCTTTTCTTTTTTAAATTTGGTTGAAAAATTTGAGGTTGACTTAACAGTTGGAGTGGGAATTTCCACCATTACTGTTTTTCATTTTTTTGCCTGATATGTAAAGGTTAACTCTACACTTAGGAGTACAACCTACTCCCTCCGTTTCAATTTGATCGTCCTGTTTTGACTTGGCATGAAGTTTAAGAAAGTAAAGAATACTTTTGAATCTTGTGGTCTTAAATTAAAGATATGTAGAATGTACCAAATTGTCCTTTATTCTTGTGGTCTTAAATACGCTATGTGAAAAGTTGAAATTAAAGAGTTGCCAAAAAAGGAAAGAGACATTCTTTTTTAAACGGACTTAAAAGGAAAGTAGGACAAATAAATTGAAATGGAGGGAGTAGTATACAATAAGCCCCAAAACTCTGAAAAGCCATCCATATCAACCCATGCAATTTAGGTTTTCAAGAACAAAACAGCCCCCGAAAACCCTAAACTTTCTTCATATTAATTCCTGACTCACTTTTTTTTTTCTGAAACTGGTAATGTTGTATTTTTCAACATTAAGAACATGCTAGCCACTTCTTTTTTTGAGATAACAAACTTATATTAAATTCAGTAAGGTTGTGAAGCCATAATTACAAAAGTGAACAAGACTAATCTAAACAAAAAATGTTGCTCTATAGAGACTCTAAAACTTGCATTAGAGCCTCAGTGTCACCTATGTACTCCTGTTTACACCAAAAAATGAAAAATCACAATACAACTAAGTTTTATCTTCTGGATTCGGTTGCTATTTCCTTCAAAACATCTTAGATTCCTTTCCCTCCACATAATCCACCATATACAGCCTGGGATCATACTCCATCTTCTCTTTTGTACCTTAGTGCCTCCCCTTCTGTTCCAGCTGGGAAGCATGTCAAGAGTAGTCATTGGCACTGACCGCTCAGACCAACAATAGCAAGGACGATGTCCCAAAGTTGTGTAGTCACTCTGCAGTGTAGAATGAGATGACTGTTTGTTTCTGCATACTTCCCACATAAGTGGAAGATAGAGCAAAGTTGTATTCCCCTTCTCTGTAGCCTGTCCTAAATCAAATAAGCTTGTTTGACTACTAGCCATACAAAACAAGTCACCTTGTATGGGTATGGGGTCTTAGTTTTCCAAATGTGCTTCCAAGGCCATAACAAGGTCAGATTGTTACTGAAAAAATGCCTGAGTTCTGTTCTCTCCATCCCAATCTGTCTTGAGTTTAAACAGTTCCAGTGATCTGATTGAAGATTTTGAGGAACTCAGCAAATCTGTCAGCTGCCAGTCACTCAAAGCTCTCCTGTAAGGCTGTAACTTAGATTCCAACCCTGGTTGCTCCAAACTTCACGATTGCTAGCCCTCTGTTACTGGTTTAGGATAAAGATATCAGGGTATGTGACCTTGAGGGGGCCATTACATAGCTAGTTATGATCCCAAAAGGGAGTTTTTTCACCATTTCCAATTCTGATGCTAAATTTGTTGCTGAATATTTGCCATAAATTCTTGATAGTCTTCTAGTCACTGATGCCATATGTACTGGTAACGTTTTTGGTCTTCGATGAACCCTACCTTTTATCACATTCTTCCTCAAGGAATGATATTCAGTAGTATTTTTCCATATAAGTGGCAGATAGAGCAAAGTTGTATTCCGCTTCCCTGTTGCCTGTCCTAAGTCAAATAAGCTTGCTTGACGACTAGCCAAACAAAATATGTCACTTTGTATGGGTATGGGGTCTTAGTTTTCCAAATGTGCTTCCAAGGCCATAACAAGGTCAGATTGTTACTGAAAAAATGCCTGAGTTCTGTTCTCTCCATCCCAATCTGTCTTGAGTTTAAACAGTTCCAGTGATCTGATTGAAGATTTTGAGGAACTCAGCAAATCTGTCAGCTGCCAGTCACTCAAAGCTCTCCTGTAAGGCTGTAACTTAGATTCCAACCCTGGTTGCTCCAAACTTCACGATTGCTAGCCCTCTGTTACTGGTTTAGGATAAAGATATCAGGGTATGTGACCTTGAGGGGGCCATTACATAGCTAGTTATGATCCCAAAAGGGAGTTTTTTCACCATTTCCAATTCTGATGCTAAATTTGTTGCTGAATATTTGCCATAAATTCTTGATAGTCTTCTAGTCACTGATGCCATATGTACTGGTAACGTTTTTGGTCTTCGATGAACCCTACCTTTTATCACATTCTTCCTCAAGGAATGATATTCAGTAGTATTTTTCCATATAAGTGGCAGATAGAGCAAAGTTGTATTCCGCTTCCCTGTTGCCTGTCCTAAGTCAAATAAGCTTGCTTGACGACTAGCCAAACAAAATATGTCACTTTGTATGGGTATGGGGTCTTAGTTTTCCAAATGTGCTTCCAAAGCCATAACAATGTCACATTGTTACTAAAAAATGCTTGAGTTCTGTTCTCCATTCCAATCTGTCTTGAGTTTGAACTGTTCCAGTGAACTGATTGATGATTTTAAGGAACTCAACAAATCTGTCTGCTCCCAGTCATTCAAAGCTCTCCTGTAACTTCCATTTCTAGTTGCTCCAAACTTCACTAGTGCTAGCCCTTTGTTGCTGGTTTAGGATAAAGATATCAGGGTACATGAGCTTGAGGGGGCCATTACCTAGTTAGTTACCCTCCCAAAAGGGAGTTTTTTCACTATTTCCAATTCTGATGCTAATTTTGTTGCTGAATATTTGAGCTGTAAATTCCTGATAGTCTTCTAGTCACTGACTCCATATGAACTGTTAATGTTTTTGGTCTTCGATGAACCCTCCTCTTCATATTTACCTTTAATACTGTTTGTTGGGTAGCAGGTTATTGATGGTATTAAGTTGAGAAATAGGAAGCTATTGGAGCTTAAATATGAGAACTTTAGTAAATGGATTGGATGGTTGAGGAAAGTCCTCAGGTTTGATTGAAATGATGGATTACGTCTTTCCTATATTACATGTTGTATGCTAAGGGAAGCTCCCAGGGCATTGGCCTAGTGGTAAGAACAAGATGTGATGTCTGGGTTAGGTCACACGTCACGTGTTCGAACCCTTCCGTAGACAAAAACTTTGTATTTAAATGGAGAAGGGTAGAGGGACAAACCTATTATCCACCAGGTTTCGACCATCATTGGCCCTCAGGGATTTCTCGGTTATCAAAAAACAGATTATATACTGAGGGAAAGCCTTGTTTGCTGGCATTTCCTTCTAAAAGGGTGGAAACTGCTTTTGTACAAAATAAAAATGAGGGTATGTCTTTTCTTTTTGGTAAATTTTTAAGCTCCCTTTAGGTGCCAATTAGTATAAACTACTTAGACAACTTGTGGAGAATTATATTTTGTCATAGGTTCCTTCCAATTGGTATACCACTTGTATACTGGGATTCTTCTCACGAAATTTGTTCAATTATTACTTCATGGGGAAAAAAAATCACTACATGCTCATTCCATAAGGCATACTGGGATCCCATTTGCTGATACACTACTTTTCTTGAGTATTTTGTTGCTTGCTATGTGTCCAAGGATCCGTGGTTGAGATTGGCATATTGATAGCCATTAATGTCACACTAATAAAACTGTGGTTTGTATTCACTCTCGTGCCACATATTGAACTGTTTGATTTGCAGATTTATATTCTCTTTTTGGTGCAGAAATGACTCATGGGAAAATCCTTTGTGTAATATTTTCTAACATAAACTATGTGCCTCTATCCCTTAGCATATTTAGAGGCTCATTAGTTGCAGCTCAGTGATCATAATTTGATTTTAGCAGGTCTGATGCTAAACATGATGATGACCAGCCAAAAGTGGATAAGTTGTCTCTAAAGAGAAAAGGTATAGGATCTAAAGCAAGAGCTGAACGTATGGCCAATGCAAATACAGACTTACAGTTGTTGTCTGGCCCTGAACGAGAAAGACAGCTGCTAAAGCAAAAGAAACGAGGACGAAAAGGACACGAAGAAGACGTATGCATCTATTTCTTGTTCTTTGGCTGTCCAGAAAATACTGTTACAATTTCCTTTCTGGTCTCTGTTTTGAAATTTATTGATTGGGAACAAAACGAAAAATAATATAAAAGAGATACTGAAGTAAATAAAAAAAGGGTCTTTATCTGTAGGATGTAGACAATCGGAATGCACACACAGGCTGACACATATAAAGAAGCATCGTTTATTGAGCTTAAGACACTAGTATTGGTGAAGGTAGATGATATCCTGGGATAGGAAATACCCCCACCCTTACCAGCACACACACTAAAAAACTTTCTTCCCTCTTGAACGGAAGAAGGAATTTTTGGAATAAAGTCCAGCTTCACTGAATGAGATGTGTGATTAGGGATCTGTTTTCATATACTCTCCCATCCTACTTCCTGACCAAAAAAGAATTTTGTGATTTTCCCGAAAGCTGACTCTTGCATTGAACCAATAGCCATTTCTTCCAGTTTTGTCCCTCTTGATACATGTGGCAATTAAGGGTTTTTTTTTTTGCCGTGGCACTATGGCCAAAATAAACTAAATGTTCTTTGATTTTCTGTTTTCTATGTTTTGACTTATTATATGTAGTGCTTTATTTTTAAGACTGGCATAGTTTACAGGGTTTGCGTTGGATTCTTTCCAATTGGCGTCCATCCATGGCCTCTGTTACAGGTGTTCTTGCATTTTTAGATGTTATTTAAACATCTCAAGGGGAAAAAAAATAACTTGCAATCATGTTTCTATGTAAATTCTAATATGTTGGAAAATGTTGAGTTTTCATAGTAATAATTAGAAGACATTAATTAGATTCATTCTGACTTAACTTTGGACTTGTGTGGAAAGGATATCTGTTCTTGCTGTTAGTTTTCTTTGTTCTAAGCAACTTTGCAGTTAACCATTATTTGTATGTCTGCTAGATGCTAGCAAAATTGGAGAAATTTAAGGCTGGACTGTCTGCTAAAGCCAATGAATCTGCTAATGCGGTCAAGGAGGAAGAATTATCTGATTGGGCAGCAGTTACATTAAAATTCACTCCTGAACCTGGAAAGGTATATAAAGTTTATATGTTGTTTCTGGTTAGAGTTACTTGGTCTTAAGGCGGTTGGTTCCTTATGGTGCAATTCCCCATCTACATGCTTGCTTTTCTGGCATTTCTTGCTTTCGAGAAGGGTGGGGGGGAGGGTCGGGGG